ATAATGTGTAGGATAAGCAGCTAGCAGCTGTCATGGGCAGGAGGCTGTGTGGGGGGTTGGGAATCCTGGCCACAAGCCACTGCAGCTTTGAAGAACGTGGTTCCTGGGAGGGCTCACAGCCCATTGCGTAACATTCTGCAGAGAGGAAAATACAAGCACAGTCCCTATCATTTGACTTGTTTTCCATTTTGATTTAGTTGCTTGGCGAAGTCTTGGTGTCCTGTAGTGGAGAATGAAAGGCAAGTTCCAGTGAAGGACCCTGCCTCTAAGGGCATCAGCCAGTGCACAGTTTGTAGGGCCAGATCGGAGTTAGATTTCTTATTGTTGGGCCAGGGGGACTAAAGTTTCAAGAGACTACATGAAAAATACCATCAAATGATACTTGCAATTTTTTTTCAAAAGGGAATCCTTTCTTCTCTCCTCACAACAGTGCATGCTGCTTTTAGTTGTTATACCTATGCTTTAAAATGTCACAGCTACTAGAAAAGACCATTTTATAACAAAATCATTCCCTTCATGTTCTGTGGTATGTCAGCTTGGCAGTAGAGTTCACAGGGTTTGAAATCAAAAGCAGCATTGGTTCCTTTGTGGAAAAATGATCCCAATGTACCAAAATAAAAGCCAAACAGACTCTAATTGTTCTTTTTTCCCCACGAGGGGCTTGCCCTTTTTGAAGGTGTGGTTACTTTTGATAGGACTCTTCTCTCTAACAGTGCTAGTGGCTGGGAATTGCCTTTTCCCTGGGTAAAACCCACTTTTAAATCACAATTTTAAAACAGACCTCAAAGTGTACCTGGGTATCTCTCTATTCTCTAATCCCCTCCGTCTCAGTGAAGGGACTCCAGTTTTCTCACAGGGCACCTCCTGCTGCAGTGTCTAATTCTGACTACCACCTATGCTAAACTAGGAAACATTGCAGGTATAGTTTTTATCAAGTTATCCACGTATTAATCTCACAGGGCACCTCCCGCTGCAGTGTCTAATTCTGACTACCACCTATGCTAAACTAGGAAACATTGCAGGTATAGTTTTTATCAAGTTATCCACGTATTAATCTCTGTGTTAAGTTCAGTATGTGCCAACCAGGGGCCTAAATTTTTTCCATTGTTTTTCATTAAATCTAGTTTCATAAATTGTACGGTGTTGTATTTCTTTCTCCTTGCTGTTTGTCTAGTGTTCATCATATTCACAATAGCAGCCTTAACTTGCCCCACTCTGACTGGAGGTGCAGGACCACGCCTTTCATGAACCTTCTTCTCTGTCAGCTCTTCTACTCCTTATAGACTTGAAAAACATCATATGAGAGTTCCTTTTTTTCTCTGTGCATATGGATTTTCAAATCAAACCAAACTTTTTTCTTCTCTCATCCTCTTACCTTTCCTCAAAGTCTTATATAGTGCCCATGATTTGGAAGCCCCATGCAGGAGGCTCCTGACCAGTCACACGACAGTGAAGGCAAGAAAAGAAAGGACCAGATAGCATCAGAAAATATGCCTTTCTAGGTCACTGGTGGCTAAGCTTGCGGTACCAATAGGGAGACTGAGAGGAAAAGGGTGGAGAGCAGCACCATTGTAAGGAAAGAATAATTTTGCCATACAATTCTTATTCCAAGAATTTGCTGGAGAGAAAAAACTTACACATGGAAGAGAATAGGTTTTCTGATTTAATCCATTCTTGTTTTCAGCCATAGAGTATCCATTTATTCATTGCTCTTGGAAGGATGCATTTACCTGAGTGGCATATAAGCACAGCTGGTTAACTGTGTGCATTATTTGGATGGGATAGGACTCTGAAAAGTATGGCTCCCTTGGTCAGCTACTGTCCTCTACTTTCCAAATGCTTGTTCATTTACAAGTATAAAACTAGAGGAAATGACATTCAGCTCCCACAGATACACCTCTCCCCACAGGAGAGCAGAGGACATCGTTCACTGCTTGTCCTTCATACTCGCATCTGTTTGGAGAACTGTATTCACAAAGCTTGAAGAACAATGTCACTGGCCTTTGTGAGATGTGATATCTTAGGGTATGTTTTCTTGGTATAAGCTGTGTGTTGGAAGAGAAGCAATGTTCAGTAGTGGCTAATAGAATACTTTAGAGGGCATTCTGCCTTTCCTGTTCACACTTTGCTCTGGGTAGCTGCTGGTTTGACAATGCTGTTGCAGATCCCCAGACTACTACACTTAGCTGGTATACTCTTACAGAATTCTAACTCGAGTCATTTTCCATTAAATGAAAGAAACTAAGGTATTTTAAATTTTAGGTTTAAAATTTGGTCCTAACCTATAAATTAAGTCATTTATTTATTATTTCTGAATATTATAGGGGTGCAGATGTTTTTATTATACTAATTGCTTTAATACTGCTTGAGTCAAAGTTATAAGTGTGTCCATCATCCAGATAGTGTAGCCTATACCTGTGAGATGTGATATCACCCTTCTCCCCCCCTTCTATCTTCTAGAGTTCTGTTGAGTTCTCTTGAGTTTTACTTCTATCTGTGTACTCTTTTAATTATGTGGGTAAACCTTGCTTTTTCTTTTCTTTT